TTGTCTTTTTGAGACAGGGTCTTACTATGCAGTTCAGGCTGGCCTTGATCTTACTCTGTAGCGCAGGCTGGTCTTGAACTTGCAATGATTCTCCTGCCTCAGCCTCCCCAGTGCTGGGATTACAGGTGAGCTACCACATCCAGCCTTCTATAAAAATGAAGATCTATTGCATAAATATTGGTGGCACATGTCTATAATCTCAGCACTCAGGAAGAAAACTGAGGCAGGAAGGTTATTGAGAGTTTAAGGCCAAACTGCATTGTATAGTGAGACTCTCTCTCAAAAACAAACAAGCAGGGCTGGAGATATAGCTCAGTGGCACAAGTTCCTGCCTGGCAAGCTGAAGGTCCTGAGTTTGATTCCCAATACCAAAAAAAAAAAAAAAAAAAAAAACCATCACAGAACTGTTTGTGTATTAGTTTCCTTTAATAGTCAGTATAATGATGAAACTAAGATGTGTCTAGGGATTTTGAACCACTAGGATAAACTACTACTTTCTGAGGTCACGGTTGCTATAAGAATGAAAGCTGGTCATTTCTACTTTAGTAAATACTTGCCTTGCTCGAGTCAGGCATGGTGGTGTCTGCCTGCAATCCCAACACTCCAGAGGCTGAGGCAACAGGATCCTTCTGGCCTTGGGGTTTTGGGGTTCAGTTCCATCGCTGATCCGGCAGTGCTCTGATGTTCCTGTAGATGGATACTCGCCACTCATAGGATCAGTTCTGTTGCATGTTGTTTCAGCATTTCACAAAATTTGTTGTCTTTTTTTCTCCCACTGTAGTGAGACCCTACACAACTTCGTTTCCCAGGTCAGAGAAAGCATTCAGAGGGTAAGTTAGCTTCATTTTAAGAAGTTAGAACATCTTACTTAAAACCTTTAATAATTATTATATATTGCTGTGCATACACGCCTGTAATCCCAGCACTAGGGAAGCTGAGGCAGAAGGTTCACCATGAGTTCAAGACCACCCAGGGCTACATAGTGAGTTTAAGGCCAAGGTAAACTACATAGCCAGACTCTGTCTCAAAGAGCCTATTGACCTTAATTTTAACCACCCTGTATTATTAATTTTTTGGTGGAACCAGGGATCAAACTCAGGCCCTTGCACTTGCCAGGCAAGCGCTTATTCTACTGAGCTATCTCCCTAACTTATTAATTAAAAATTAATTAAATGGCAGTTTTCCAAGTTAGTGAAATATATATACTGCTGAAGTGAGCACTCTTAAGTTAGTAAAATAAGCAAGTATTCTGTGATGTTCTTTTTTTTTTTTCTTTTTTTTAAGAGTGGAATATATTTACTGGGGGAAAGAAAGCTTCTGTCTGAGAGAGGGACAGAAGGGGCCCCTAGTGGGTTACCAAGAAATCTGCTTTTCTAGGGATTTTTATAGAACAAAACCATGAGGGAAAGTGGGTCTAGGTGAAAAACATGGGAACTTGCACATGAGGTGAGACAAAACTATAGTCAACTAATAAGATGCGAAGCACAATTGCTCAGGTAAAGTTGATTAAATCATGATCAAATGGGGAAGCAAGTCTGGTAGCAAGGGGATATGAATACAGAACAGGGGCTTTTCCTGTAGGGGGTTGGGTCCCTGACTCCTAGCTTTTTCAAAGTGATTGATACCTGTTAGAATATCAATCCTTGGGGCTGGTGAGATGGCTCAGTGGTCTAAAGCACCTACTTAGAACAAGCTTAGCAAAGCATAGGGACTGCCGTTCAATCTCCCAGTACCACATGCCAGCCAGGCCCGCCCCCTGGTGGGCTGAGCTGGCCACACACACACACACACACAAATAAATAAAATTTAAAAAAAAATATCAATCCTTGATGCCCATCCTTAGGGAGGTATGTGGCTGCACTTGTTTATTCTTTTGTCTTGAGGTCTGGCCCACAGTGAGAGTGTCTGTCTTTCCCACAGTTGCAAGGTATCTTGTCTTCCATATTGTTTCCTTCTGAGACTGCCTATAATCTTTCTTTTTTTGGGGGGGAACCGGGGATTGAACTCAGACCCTTGCGCTTGCCAGGGAAGCTCTTATTCCACTGAGCCACCTCCCCGGTCCTAATCTTTCTAACTCAGCTGCCTACAGCATTCCTCCTCAGAAGAAGTAACCTGAACTGCTGTGAGGTAATAATGGGTGATGACCACTCTGACTGAAAGAGATCATAGTTATTGACTGCCAGTCAGAAATATTCTCCAGAGGGTCTATCTAAACTCCTTCAGTAGATACCAGGAATTTCATCTTGGGTACGGGTATAGCTTTGAGTTTGGAGGAGACAAAGCCAAAGAAACAAGTATGCATGGAGCAAATAATAACATGTGATATCTTTCTTAACTTTGGGGTTCTCAGTTCCAGACATCTGTGGAAGAGTCTGAGGAACGCCTCAGTTCAAGAAGCCAATCTATTTTGGACTCTTTGGAGACTGTAGCTAGGACATGTAAGTGTTTCGTGTGTGGGGTTATCTGTCAGCAGAGGGCACTGGTAAGCAGCCATCATGAACTTTCTAACCTTTGCTAGATTGCCAAGGCTATGGCTCCTGATATTTCACATAAGAGGGTGGGTGCTTAAGATTAGTTCTGGAGAGATGGGAAGCACACATTAAGCTGAGTGATAGGAGCCTTCTCTCTGTGATAACACTTGGATTCTACGAAGTGAAGCACTATTCCTCCTCAAATAACCCTGCTGTCCCAAGGGTCTCTCTCTGCCAGGTTTCTCATCTCACTGAGGTAAATCAGCAGCTTCCTTGAGTTTCCAAGAATCAATTGCAGCGGTGCCATCTATAAAGATACAGAAATACTACTCCCTAAAATTTTAGAAATATTCTGGTCACCTGATGTTCTTCTTGCTGACTAAATTTCAGTGAGAGTTATTTTGTATTGGATCACAACAACATCCTCAATTTTAGCTAAAGTTTGTGGTTTTTAAAATGCCCTGCTCCCCCAATTTGGGATTTATAAGTGATGAAATCATTTCCTTTGCTCTTACAGAGAAGAGAAAACATACAATCCTCCTTAGGCAGATGCTTTCCTAGATTTAGTAGTTTCTAAGCAAAATAGTCAATGACGCTGCATCTGTACTTGTTTGGATTTGTCTGTGTTTATTTTTTATTTTAAATCAATTGAAATCAACTTATTCAAATGCTGTGGGATGAAATGTTCATGATTTATAAAAATTAATGCCTTTGTGTGGCATAGAAATTAATCCCCATCTGTCTGCAAAGAAACACTGTACTGTCTGTCTGCTGGCTTCTATCATGGTATCCCACACACAGGCCAACTGTGCATCTGTTTGAAAACTAGTGCTGGAATCCTAGAACTGCTACCCCCACAAGAAGTAAGTAACAAGGCAGGAAGCAGAAGCAAATCATGGCTGCCTCTTTGTATAATGGGATAAAACAACTCGTTTGTAAGCACCCAATGAAAACACTCTATGTTAAATGGCTTTCTGTCTATATGACAGAATACCGAAACAATTAACTTATAAAGAGGAAAGGTTTATTTGGGCTCATAATCACAGAGGTTTCAGTCTTTGGTTGCTTGGCTCTGTTGCTTTGATATGGTGGCAGCATAGTATATCAGAGCAGGTGTGCATGTTTGAGGAGACTGTTGCCCTCGTGGTGGTTAGAAAACAGAGAGAGACAGGAAGGGACAGGCATACCAGTATTCCCTTCAAGGGTGCAACTTGAGAACCTAACTTCTTTCCATTAGGCTCTCTTCCTAAGGACCCTACCATTTCTGAATAGTATCATAGGCTGGCAACCAAACTTTTAGCATAGCCTTTGGGAGAACTCCCAAAACAAAGAATACTCTGCTATCATTATTTATTAGTAGTAGTAGTAGTAATAGTAAGGCTTTCTCACTTTTTTATTTTTTATTTATTTTTTGATATAGAGTCTCGCTACATAGTTCAGAGTACTCATAGTGATCCTCCTGTCTTAGCCTCCCCAGCATGGCATGTGGTACCGAGGATCAAACTCAGGATGTTGCACTTGCCCCCAGCCCTATAATCTGTTTTTGTTCTATATTTAGGACTCAGTGAATAACTGGATGTGGTGAGACACACACCCAGCACTCTGGGAAGCTAAGACAAAAGGACTGCAAATTTGCACCCAGATTGGGCAGTTTAATGATTTAGTGAGACCCTGTATCCAAACCAAAAAAAAAAAAAAAAATTTAAGGTCCTGGATTAAATCACTACTACAAATTAAAAAGAGAAACTTGAAGTACACGAAAGAGGATAATAGCGAAAATAGTAGCATTTAAATCCCAAGTTTCACTGGATCAAGGCAGGATCAGGTATGGTAGCACACACCTGGGATCCCAGCACTCTAGAAGCTAAAACAAGAAGATCATTTAGAGGCCAACGCTAAGGTCAGTCTGAACTACAGAGGGACCCTGTCTGAATGAATGAATGAATGAATGAATGAATGAATGAATGAAATAGCAAATAAGATCACAGCAGAGAGAGCTAGAACTGCATCTGGTTTATAGGAAGCATGGGAATCTTGATTCTTTGTCGTTTGCTTTTTTTTGGAAACAGGGCTATGTAGTTCAGGTTGGCCTTGATCTCAAACAATCCTCTTGTCTCAGCCTCCTGAGGACAGAAGGGATAACGCCTGCTATCCTCCTGTCCTGTAACATGCTAGGGTAACACCTGGTCAAGGAATCCTTTTTTTTTTTAATACCAGTGATTAAACTGGGGACCTTGCACTTGCCAGGAAGGTGTTTATATCATTGAGCTGTATCCCTGGCCCTAGGGATCCTGATTCTTGGTCCCTAATTGTTCTTTTACTTTCATTGGTTTTGTTTTGTTTTGTTTTGTTTTGTTTTGTTTTGTTTTGTTTTGTTTTGTTTTGTTTGCGAAACCAAGGATTGAACTCAGGCCCTTGCACTTGCCAGGGAAGCGCTTATTCCACTTAGCCATCTCCCCAGCCCTCCTTTTCTTAATAAGTAATGATTAAGGGATGAAAGTTAGCAACTGAGGTGCCAGAATAATCTTCTGCAAATAAGATCACAGGTAGGTAGGCTCTTATTCACTGCATTTATTCTATCATATAGGTAGGCTCTTATTCAGGAAAAGGGAAAGTAAACATAATCTGCCTGTTCATCCAGAAGTCTCACTATAGCCATCTAACTCATTCAGCCAAGAACATCAAGGACCAGACTAATAAATTAACAAGGCAGCCAGACATGGTGGTGGTATAATCCCAGAACTCAGGAGGCTGAGGCAGGAGGATCCTTCTGAGTTCCAGACCAGCTGGGCTACAAAGTGAGCTCAAGGCCAGCCTGAACTGCATAGCTAGACTCCCAAACAAAACAAAACAAAGCAAAAAAAGAAAAGAAAAGAATTTTTTCCCTCCCTTTGTATTTCTCAGTGGCCATATGAATGTCCCATATAAAGATTTCATATGAATTTTCTTTCTTTTTTTTTTTTTTTCGGAACCGGGGATTGAACTCAGGCCCTTGTACTTGCCAGGGAAGCGCTTATTCCACTGAGCCATCTCCCTGGCCCAGAATTTTCTTCATATAACCTATATATGTAATAATCAAATCATTTTTTTAAAAAAGGAAGATACTGCTGATTTCTGCTGGCCTATTGAAAAGAACAATTAATGGTTAAATTTTTTTCTCCTTTTTATTTATATTTTATTTTTGTCTTTATTTAATTTTATTTGCGGAACCAGCGATTGAACTCAGGCCCTTGCGCTTAAGCACTTATTCTACTGAGCTATCTCCCTGGCACCTATTTTCATCTTTTTGAGATAAGTTCTCACCGTGCAGTGATTTAGGCTGGCCTTGAACTCACTATGTAATAGCCCAGGCTGGCCTCCAACTTGCAGCAATCCTCCTGATTCTGACTCCCAATTACTGGGATTATAGATGTGTACTGCTATGCCTGGCTCTATCCTTTTAAAGTTTGTGTAACTTTTTGTTGACCAGTTTTCCATGCTTATATCTGGTAATCTGAACAACTAATTTGAAAGACAATATGCAACAACCATTGTTGAATTCTTAAAAAACAACAACAACAACAAAAAAAAAAAAAACGCATAAGCAAAAAATTTCTATTTTCACAATGAGAATAACTTTTTCAAGCAAAATCTATAAAATTAAGAGTGAGACTTACCTATCTGAACACAATGAAAGAGAAACGTCTGCTTGTTGTTAAAATATCAAGGTCAGGTGTGATGGTGCACAGGTTGCCATCCCAGCACTCTGGAGTCTGAGGCAGGAAGGAGGATTGTTACATGTTGAATGCCAGTTTGGGCCACATAGTTCAAGGACAGCCTGCACTATGGAGTGACAACTTGTCTCAAAAATAAAATAAAACAGCAAGATGCTATTTAAGTTCATATGGTTTCCTCCCAGATTCATTTTTTGGGTAGTCTCACCCAACCAGTGAAGATTAGAAAGGGTAGCACTAAAAGCAAGGGAAGAGGGTTGATGTGGTTCCTATTATACAGGGAACCTCCCAGATCTTTCCTTATTCTCTTCGCAGCACATCAGAGGGAATATAGAGTAAAAGGGAGCTGGGTGTGGTGCCTCAGGTCTGTAATCCCATCTTTGAGGAGGCGCAGGCAGGAGGAGCATTGTGAGTTCAAGGCCAGCTGAGGTCAAGGCCACTGTGCTCACTGAACTGTATAATGAGACTGTCTCAAAAAAAAAAAAAAGGAATATAGAGTAAAAAGAAAGGATTAGTTACTAGTAGAAATAACCTGCTTTTATCAGAATCTGAGATGGGTACAATGGTGTAGATCTGGAATCTCAGTACTTGTGAGACTGAAGCAGGATCTCAAATCTGAGGCTACCCTGGACTACATAGCAAGACTCTGTCTCAAAATAAATAAATAAATAAAAATTGTCCAATTGAGACAATCCTGCCTCTGCTTCCATCAGTACTAAGATTAAAATATATGTGCCACTGTGCCTGGCTTTGAGTTATCTTCATAACGAATTTTTTTATGTATTTAGTACAGAGTCTCACTGTACAGATAAAAGCAAAGGAACTCATAGTGATCCTGCTGTTTTCAGCTTCCCAAGCACTGGGATTATAGGCATGCCACCATGCCTAATCTCAATCAATGTCTCAGCGCGCCCCCGGGGCCGGGGCCAGCACAGCACACAGGAGACTGAACCCCCAGTCCCTATACCTGCCTAAGCAGGCGCTTTAGTCTGCTGAGCTATCTGGCAGGGCATATAACTAAATTTTTTAAAAATAAACTTTGGAAGCCAGATGTGTTAACACATACCTATAATCTCAGCACTCTGGGAGACTGAGGCAGGAATATTCTAAATTCATGTCTAGCCTGAGCCATTTACCAACCTAGAAGACCTTGTCTCAAATTTTTTTTTAAAAGGTCTGAGGATATAATCCTGGGTTCAGGCCCCAGTAGTGATGATGAACTTTTTAAAGCTTTCAATGATACAGCCCCCCACT